AAAAATCGACGTGTTTCAGAAAGGCGGGGCATAGAGGAGAAACAATAATGTACAGTATGTGGAAAATAATGTGTTTTTTTAACCTTAAACCGCATAAACACATTTCATTACACCAAATACACAAAATAATCTTTTTAGCAGCATCATATGACCCCTTTAAGAATCAGAGTTTGTGCTTTGAAAGCAGGGCACAGGGATGAAAAACGAAGAGGGTAAATTCTCCTAATGACTCACAACGACCTGCTGTTTGATCATCCCAACCTGTAAGGATAATGTTGGGCACTCCTCCTCCACAATTAGAGTAGAGCATATTGGGCCTCATCTGAAGGTGGTCTTGCAGGTTGCCATGGCTACCGCCCAAGCCCATGAGGGCAGCCTGGGAGTAGTAGAGGTTGGAAGAAGGGTCAAACCCTCCTGCCACAGAGCTCATGACATTCTCCAACATATTATACTGATCCTGCTGTTTAAACACACACACAAAATATTTGTTACACTGTTTATAAGACAAAACATGACCAAGATAGGAATTAGAGAGATCTTCCTCATATCTTTACCTGATAGGACGAACACTTGGACTGACGTCCAGAAAACTGCAGCTCCATAAAGGGATCATTAAAAAATGCCCCCATGCTGTTGTGCTGCAAGCAAAAACAAGATTCAGTGTTTTCCTGTTCAGCCAAGAATAACCAGCGTCTGTAACTGCTGAATATTAGTTATTCTCCTCAGCTCCCTGTTTCAACTAATGTTTCAATAGGAACTCACAGCACTGGAATTAAAGTCGAGCGGGACGCTCTGCAGTGGGGACACAGGCTGGTGCTGCTGGTGCTGCTGTTGGCCACCTGTTGGTCGTTGCTGCACCACTGGATGCTGGGAGCTCTGCTGAATAGACAGATGGGACTGGGGAGGAGGTTGCTGATGCTGATGCTGCTGCTGCTGCAGGGGCTGCTGGGTTTGCTGGTAAAGGGGGTAGGGAGGGGGCGGCTCCATCGGCAAGTTGCTGGTGTCCAAGGCAACACCCTAAAGAGAATGGGAAACTTATAAAATCATTTGACTGAGCTTAGCTACGGTACGCTACAGAACACCCTGTTCTTGGCAGACATGAACAACAAACCAGCTGCCACATTTGTAAGCACAGGGCTCCACAAAATAAATAAATAAATTTTTGGAAAACATGAGAAGGATGGCATAACATTTTACAGATGGCACTAGCACCTGATTTGGTATTCTGTTCCACACACAAAAAAAATGATGTATGATTTTTAGAAGACACTACACAGGTCATATGGACCACTTCTTTGCCCTTTTTTATTTTAATTTTAACAGCATGACAGACATGGTAATTATGAACAGCCATTGTTTGGAAAAGAGCTCCTTCAAAATTAATAACTGGGGCTGGGTGTTGATTCGGAATTCCTATTTCGATTAGACTATATTTTGATTCAATTTGATTTCCGTCTTGCTTTCTCTGTGGTTGCTGTAAATTATACAGGGAAGCATCTGATTCGGTACGTTACAAAAACGTTTTTTTTAATTAACCACAGGGTCTAAACTTCAATTGCTCTTTATAATATATATTATGACATGCACCACTGTTCAAAAGTTTGGGGTCTGTAAGCAGAACAACTGTTTTCAACATTGATAAGAAATGTTGCTTGTGCACAAAATCAGCATATTAGAATGATTTCTGAAGGATCATGTGACACTGAAGACTAGAATACAGGAATACAGACTTACAGGAAAAAAACGCATTTTAAATACATTAAAAAAAGAAAACTGTTATTATGTGGAAAATAATGTGTTTTTTTAACCTTAAACCGCATAAACACATTTCATTACACCAAATACACAAAATAATCTTTTTAGCAGCATCATATGACCCCTTTAAGAATCAGAGTTTGTGCTTTGAAAGCAGGGCACAGGGATGAAAAACGAAGAGGGTAAATTCTCCTAATGACTCACAACGACCTGCTGTTTGATCATCCCAACCTGTAAGGATAATGTTGGGCACTCCTCCTCCACAATTAGAGTAGAGCATATTGGGCCTCATCTGAAGGTGGTCTTGCAGGTTGCCATGGCTACCGCCCAAGCCCATGAGGGCAGCCTGGGAGTAGTAGAGGTTGGAAGAAGGGTCAAACCCTCCTGCCACAGAGCTCATGACATTCTCCAACATATTATACTGATCCTGCTGTTTAAACACACACACAAAATATTTGTTACACTGTTTATAAGACAAAACATGACCAAGATAGGAATTAGAGAGATCTTCCTCATATCTTTACCTGATAGGACGAACACTTGGACTGACGTCCAGAAAACTGCAGCTCCATAAAGGGATCATTAAAAAATGCCCCCATGCTGTTGTGCTGCAAGCAAAAACAAGATTCAGTGTTTTCCTGTTCAGCCAAGAATAACCAGCGTCTGTAACTGCTGAATATTAGTTATTCTCCTCAGCTCCCTGTTTCAACTAATGTTTCAATAGGAACTCACAGCACTGGAATTAAAGTCGAGCGGGACGCTCTGCAGTGGGGACACAGGCTGGTGCTGCTGGTGCTGCTGTTGGCCACCTGTTGGTCGTTGCTGCACCACTGGATGCTGGGAGCTCTGCTGAATAGACAGATGGGACTGGGGAGGAGGTTGCTGATGCTGATGCTGCTGCTGCTGCAGGTGCTGCTGGGTTTGCTGGTAAAGGGGGTAGGGAGGGGGCGGCTCCATCGGCAAGTTGCTGGTGTCCAAGGCAACACCCTAAAGAGAATGGGAAACTTATAAAATCATTTGACTGAGCTTAGCTACGGTACGCTACAGAACACCCTGTTCTTGGCAGACATGAACAACAAACCAGCTGCCACATTTGTAAGCACAGGGCTCCACAAAATAAATAAATAAATTTTTGGAAAACATGAGAAGGATGGCATAACATTTTACAGATGGCACTAGCACCTGATTTGGTATTCTGTTCCACACACAAAAAAAATGATGTATGATTTTTAGAAGACACTACACAGGTCATATGGACCACTTCTTTGCCCTTTTTTATTTTAATTTTAACAGCATGACAGACATGGTAATTATGAACAGCCATTGTTTGGAAAAGAGCTCCTTCAAAATTAATAACTGGGGCTGGGTGTTGATTCGGAATTCCTATTTCGATTAGACTATATTTTGATTCAATTTGATTTCCGTCTTGCTTTCTCTGTGGTTGCTGTAAATTATACAGGGAAGCATCTGATTCGGTACGTTACAAAAACGTTTTTTTTAATTAACCACAGGGTCTAAACTTCAATTGCTCTTTATAATATATATTATGACATGCACCACTGTTCAAAAGTTTGGGGTCTGTAAGCAGAACAACTGTTTTCAACATTGATAAGAAATGTTGCTTGTGCACAAAATCAGCATATTAGAATGATTTCTGAAGGATCATGTGACACTGAAGACTAGAATACAGGAATACAGACTTACAGGAAAAAAACGCATTTTAAATACATTAAAAAAAGAAAACTGTTATTTTTAATTGTAATATTTCACAATATTTTAGTTTTACTGTATTTTTGAATGGAATGACATGAGTATAAAATGAAATTTTAACCATTTGTAGCAAAGAATTCTGTGTTGAATTCAAATTGTTGTGCCTCAAAATCCAGACCAATATGAACAGTGTTGCTCAGTGCAACCAATTAAATTCAACACAGAAATCTGTTACAAAACCTTGCAGGATCAAAACTGATCATTGGGTCGTCATCCAAAGACTCAAAATAAACAACCCTTTGCTATTCACTCATGCCATGTATATATTTGGACTGTGCTGTGTGGTTCAATCGGTAGTGATGTATCACCACACATTTGATTGTTCGACTTGCAGCATTAACAGCAGAAAATGGTAATGCATAATTACATTTTTCCTTTTTTTATTTGTAGTCCTGAAAAGTCTAACCACATTAGACACACTCTGGAGTAGAGGTCTGCTACCTGACCCGAGCCCGACGGGTCCCGAAATACTTTCGGGTTTCGGGTCGGGTTCGGGTTAATGTTTAATGAATAGCTTCGGGTTCGGGTCGGGCTCGGGTTTATAGCTAAACTAAAACTATATGCAGGCTACGCTGCTTTCATAGACGCACGCACACACATTATTGCACACGACAACACAGCACGGTAACTTTTATTAGTAAAATAGCTTCGACAGGCTACTGACTCGCAACGTTATATTTCTCTGCAATGAGGGGGTAAAATCGCTGTTTTTGAAGGAACTAAGCCTCATTGCTTTTAGAGAGAGACACGCAGACGCAGGTTCACACGCGCAACTTTCATCTCTCTCTCTCTCTCTCTCTTGCGCGTGCTAATTCAAATAAATGATATAATTAGCCTAATTAATTCAAATAAATGCGATCTTACCGCACTGCATCTCTGTGTCTGATTTAAAGCAGGCCGAATGCTAACGAGCCTTAACTGACGAAAATGACCATAATTTGCACGATGGAAGAATTATCGTCTTGTCGTATACAACCATTCAAAAACTCGGCAGAATTTATGTGACCGCTGCACCTGATGTTCATAAACTTTCATAACTGGTAAGTGTTTTTTCTTTTGCCTTGTGAACTGGCCGAGCCTTAATGATTCTGTGTCTTTACATGTATTTGCTTACTGACCGTTGCATGCAATCGTGAAATACAGCATTTTTTTAAATTGGCTATTCGTTGTGGAAAAAAAAAAAAAAGATTTCAGGTTCGGGTTCTAAATTTTAACTGTGCCGCTCGGGTCGGGTCAGACGATCTCGGGTACAGGCCGGGGTCGGGCTTCACTTTAAAGCCCGTGCAGACCTCTACTCTGGAGCCCTGTAAGCAGTTTAATACAAGAAGCCGGTGATGGTCTGGATGAGGATTGAGTAAAGATACCACCGAAGAACATGAGATGCTGGATGAGGAGTTTTAATGAGCACTTTCTCACCTGTGTGATCGGAGAGAGAGAGGGCGACATTGTCGGGGAGAGCTGCTTGCCCAGGCTTCGCCTCTGATCGCCCCCTGGAGAGAGTGTCAGGGGACTAATGGGGGCCGGCCTTCTCCTGGGTGAACTCGCCAGGCCCGTCGTAGGAGGGTTGGACAGCGAGGAGAGACGCAGAGATGTGTGGATTGATGGATTGCTGAGAGATGAGTGTAGCTGAGAGTTGGTGAGGGACGCCTGGATGGAAGGGTTGCTTAGAGAGGATGACAGCCCTACGAGGACAGCAAACATGACATAATCAGCTTCAGGGGTTAAAAGTGCTTCTTGAACCACCTTAATGAAACCGAGATATGCCAATAATGGCTTTATGAGTCACTGCGTGCAGGCCGGCTCCTGTCCTGATGTCCACTCCTCAGAAAAGACACTGAGCAATTGTCTGCAGGTTACTGGACCAGTGAGAGCGAGAGAGAAAAGAGCTGTTTATGAGCAGCCAATGCAGGGGTTAAAGGTCAACTGTGTCTCTGGGGATCAGCCAATCAGCTAGCAGCACAGCTGAAACGGGCAGCAGAAACATCCTAGCACACCCTGTTCCCAGACATGAGAGCGAATGGAAAGAATAAAGCTGAAGAGAATGGAAGTCAAAGAGAGCGATCAGATGGCGGATGGATTTAAAAAGGGGGGAAGAGAGAGGAGGAGAGCTGTGGTCTTCTGCATGGATGTGGCCCTTTAGAAAACACATGGCATTCATATCCAAGAAAGCGCCTACAGTTTAAGCCTACAGTGTGCCGTTAAACAAAGCCCGGAGTGTTCAGCCAGTCTCTTCTGAAGCCAGGAGATGCTTTAACAGCAAACGAGCCTCCTTGAATAACGATTTGGTCACAAACAAAAGCTCTTTTTATTCTTAGACTATGAGATTACGCATGTGTGAAATCCAGTACAAGTATTAAGGTGTCTGTTTATGCTGTATTTAGTAAATCCACTGACCTTGTGAGTTTCCGATGCCCAGATGCATCATGGCTGCGGGGAGGTTGCCGGTGCTGCTGCCTCCGCTCAGGTTGGGATATCCAGCCTCGTCGGGGTCCAGAGGAGTGGGCAGCGGAGAGGGGAAGTGCAGGTTACTGAGGTCAGGCAGAGACCCGCCAGTGTTTAAAGTGCCCTGGTAGTGAGACAAACCTGCATTCTGCTCTGGAGAAGGGAATATGCTGCAGAGAAACAGAGACGGACAATTTCAGCATGTTTAAATGTACAGCAAATATCTAGTAAGCAACCAATCAACATGCACACAAATTTCTCTTGACTTACTTGATTCCAGGAACTTCGCAGGACTTTGGCCGGGAGGACAGAGACTGCACCTGCAACCAGGCAACATCTGCATTATATATCCACATTCACGGAGATACATTTTGCGAACTGCTATCTACAGACAATCAATTAGTATTGTAGCTGGCAAGACCAAATGGCATCATACTAATAACACTAATATGTAATCAACAGCACAAAGATTCTGTTGAAGTCGCCATGAAATCAAAACTGACAATTTGTTTATGGAATGTTGCAGTTTTTAATATAAATCACTTATCCACACACAACATTAGTTTTTCAAATAAAAAGAAAAAAAAAACACACGTGGCCTGTTAAAAAATTAACATGCCCCTCTCCTTACTATGTCATCTCTTCTCTGATGACGTGTATGCTGACGTGAGGACTGAGTAATAAGGTATCCTAGATTCAATCCCCCCAGCAAACTGTCACTCACATGAAATGATTGCTGTAATTAACAAACGACAATCAATTCCCCATGGACAACAAAATTCCACCCTGCATATTTTCCCTGGTCAAGAAGCTTACATGTTACAATAGGGAAGAAAAACAATCACAAATTCTTTTACACGCCGACTTTTAATAGAATTACTTCCTCTAGATCAAAGTTACCAACTTTACTTGGTCAAAGTTAGGAAATGACTGCATAAATAGCGGGCATAATATATTGGTTTACAGGACAAATTTAGAAACACAAAGCATTGAACAGACTAACCAATACAAGCAAAATACAGAGGTCAACCAAAGCCAGACAAAACCTTGAGTTTAGTGACACAGCATCAGTGAGATTTCTGAGTAAAAAGTGAACAAATAAATGTAACTTCAAACTCAATACGTAACCAAAAAATATAACTTAATTTCGGTACACAATCATTTAGATCAATACTCAATACTTTATTTTTTTTTGGTAACGAAACGAATCAAAAACTAACGTGCTATTGAACACAGTTCTTAATTTTGTTAGTAATAATCAGTGTTGGGCAAGTTACTCTGAAAATATAATCAAATTACTGATTAAAATGTAATTAAATTACTGATTACTCCTTTTAAAAGTAATCACTTTACTGTTCTGATTACTTTATTTCAAAAGTAATTAGTAATTAGTTACATTACTAGTTACGTTACTTTTTTCTCCATGAAATTTATGAAATCCCAGCATACACGCTCCCGATAAATATTTGTTATTAAAGCATCAACATTCACAGAACAGTTATTTTAACTAAAGCAAGCGGCTGCTGCGTGCATGGTTTGGTAAGGCAGAATGCCAGCAAAGAGCTCTGCATTTATAATCTCTAAAAGACATCCCATACGCTTGCACCTGTTAATCGTTTATATTTTATATTAGTTCATGGTGCTTTTGTGCAATAGATCAATAACAATTTATTTGTTTTAGATATTTTATGGTTAAATATTTCTATTTTGCTGGAGTCCCGTGAATCATTTTATTCTCCCGCATCACACACACACACACACACACACACACACACACACGATTGTCTACCCGCCCGCACCAGCACTCGCACATTTTGTCCCGCGCCGCACTCTGTTGCGGAAAAGCAGGTCTGTAATCCACTGGCACTGAACTCGACAATGCATGTGCTACATCCTTTTTACAATCTCCAGATTATAAAACACTGCATTCTGTCAGCAATGTAACGCGGCAGTAACGTAAAGAGACCTCGGCTTGTAACTATACTCTAATTACTATTTTGAAAATGATAATGCGTTAAATTACTCCGTTACTAAAAAAGTAATCAAATTACAGTAACGCGTTACTAAGTAATGCGTTACTGCCCAACACTGGTAATAATGGCCAGTAAAAGGATTATTAGGCTGCCTTTATACAGTTACACATCTGATATTTTGATACAATTCTGATTTCTTTGGTCACAACCGAATTACAACTGAGTTGTTACTTAGTACTACAGATACTATAACATCACTACCCCTCATGCACTCACCTTTTTGGCCTCCCATAACTGTTTTGGCAGTGGCTTATTCACTCCGAGCAGATTCTCCTCATTAGGGACAGCATGAAATGAGAACACTGCAGAGGAAAAAAGACAGTCCCTCATTAAACAATTCAAATCATCCCTGCTGCATCCCCTATTCAAATTGCACAGTTAGGGCTGCACATCTTTAAGTCACTAATTTCATTTTGTCAACAAAAGAGTAAAAGTAAATACTCAATCTGCATCCTACAACTCAACCAAAAAAACGAGCTTTATTAAGTTATCTTACGGTAGGTAAACTACATGAGAGACATGTAATCTGAGTGGGACCGCCAGCAGAGCACACCAGCTGTTCCACAACACCAACACCATCCATCAGCCCACTACAGCAAACCACAGCGGAGTACTGTGAGGGCTGATGATGTCATTAAAGGGGTGAATCTTTTTTTTTGGTGGGCTGAACACATGATAGAGAATCAACAAGCATGACAACACACTTACCATCTCCAGAATTGTCCACCTCTGCTTCATTCATGCTGGCTGCACGACCACAAAGAGAAAGGCCAATTAGATCAAAGAGCAGTTAATCATTTTGCATTCACGCATGTAATCCCCCCCCCATTCATTTGCTGTCTGCTTTTCATGCCCACAGCAGAAAATGACATATGGAGGACTGCATGGGATTAAAAAAAAACATTCAGAACATGTGAATAAAGAGCATGTCACATGTCTTTTATAGAATTAAAATAGCTGACTGAACCACTGTTGATGTAACAGACAGTACATTAACACACATCACCCGAGACATGGCTTGATTAACACTTTTACTGAAAGTAATTAATTATTTCTCGATCCACAGAACCTAGTCTAGGGTGTAACTATGGAAAATAAACACCATCATACTCATATTTTATGCAAGTAATGAAAACAACAGGGATGAAGACATTAGAACAATAAATGTAATATTTAATCATATGATTGAAATATGCCGAGAATATTATTCTTGGTAAATCCCCTCCATTATTAAAGGGGTCATATGATGCGATTTCAAGTTTTCCTTTCTCTTTGGAGTGTTACAAGCTGATTGTGCATAGATAAGATCCCTGAAGTTGCAAAGACTAAAGTCTCAAAACCAAAGAGATATTCTTTATCAAAGTTAAGACTCTGCCATTGCTATTGACTGTTCAAATGCGGAGTTTTGCGCATCGTGTGTGTGTGTGCGAGAGAGAGAGAGAGAGAGAGAGAGCGAGAGGGAGAGCGAGAGAGAGAGTGAGAGGGAGAGCGAGAGAGAGAGCGAGAGGGTTACTCCAAATACACAAAATAATGATCTTTAAAAAAGCATCATATGAGCCCTTTAAGATATAACACAGAACAACATACTTTCAGAATGATTAGGATAGCGGAATCGAAGCAAATCACAAAGGCACGGCTCAAACAGGACCTCCACAAATTTAAAGATGCAAAACAAACATGCAAATACATCTCATGAAAAATACCGTGATATAAATTTTTGGTCATACCGCCCAGCACTATCTCGTGGTAAAAACAACATAATATAACAAACTGAAGTTTAAATAAAAAAAAAAAAATGTGAAAGGCTTAAAACAAGGTGCTTCCTGAAATGCCTGGTGTGAAGAAGTAACAGCCTCTAGCAAGTAGCTTTCCTTCATTCACTACTGTTGAAAAGTTTGGGGTTGATACAATGTTTTTAAGTTTTTCTCATGCTTCTCAAGCATTTTGAAATTAATATTGTGGAATATCAAATAACTGAATTTAAAATAAAACATTTATTTTCTATTTGAATATATTTTAAAATCATTTATTTCTGTGATGGCAAAGCTAAATTTTCAGCATCATTACTCAAGTCTTCAGTGTCACATGACATGTCAGAAATAAATCTAATTTACTGATTTGGTGTTCAAGAAACATTTCTTATTACTATAAATGCTGCAAACAGTTTTGCTGCTTAATATTTTTGTGAATACAAAGATAAATTTTTTTCAGGATTCTTTGATAGGAAGTTCAAAAACATTTATTTGAAAAAAAGAAAGACTTTTGTAACATGTCTTTACTATCAGTTTTTTAGGCATCCTTGCTAAATAAAAGCATTGATTTCTTTCAAAACAAACAAACAATCTTTTGAACATATCTTTACGCTGCAAAGTTCATTTCAGTCTTCTCACAAACCCTTGATTCATTGAAATGAGTCATTCAGAGTGCACACTCACTCCACCCACTGAAGACAGGGGGCACAAACTCCAGAGGGGGGAATTGAAAATGGCTTCTTAGTGTGTACCGTCTCATTAAGAAAAAAAAGAGAGGACAAAAAAAAGCATATTGGGAGAAATCTGTGACCACAAGCGCAAAGTGAATCAATGGAGAGGCATTGTTTTGTGTGCACCACAGAGATCCTGTGGAAAACAAACCTCCTTTCTGCTTCCTCTGCCGATGCTGGCCCAGAACTGATGCAGTGTGGGCCCAGAGCCAGATAAACCAGCTCCACTGCTTCAACAAAGCTGCCGGTCTCAGACGCCCAACTGCGACGCACAATGAATCAAACAAACAGTACAGCGACACCTCATTTCCCCCTCACTGAGAGTCTCATTCAACACCATAACTGACGGAAAAAGACAACTAGAACAGAAAAACGTTGGCCTGAGTCCAGAGTTTTGTCACGTTTTATCTTGAAGTGTAAAAGTACCTAAAAAAATGCTTTGTTAAAATACATTATTTGCAATTACATTTATCTATAATTATCCGTATAGCAAGCTCCCAAAATCAACAAAATTTTGCACCAAATCAGTGAAAAAAAAACAAAACAAAAAAACAAAACAAACAAAAAAAACCCCCCACTAAAAACAGCAGTAATTATTATACATGGTGTCAAATCATAAGTCCCAGTAGGGTCAGAGTCAAGCGGTTAAACGTGGCACACAGTTACGATACGGTCTTAATGCTTTCGGGGGATCCACACATGAATAGCACAGTTGTGTTGGCTGGCAGGTTTGGGATGAGACTACTGTGATAGCGGAAGCGAGACAAATTTTTGTCCCATGTAAGAGGCTGGTTTGTACTTGTTCACATTACGTGAGCCTCACTGCACACCGCCACAGTCAACTGTGTGCATAATTCAGATGAGCTGCCAGACAGATATTAAAAGCCTGCTGTCTGCCATGTCCTCAAGTGAAGCTGTGTCTGAGAAAACAACTGCCTTGGGCCACAGACAGCCTCTGAGTTATAGTGCTCCATATCTCGATGTACATGTGACCATTTTATTTGCTCCACATCTTCATTCAATATCTTATTTTAACCTACTGACTAAACAAAGATCTACTACACAAAGATGCTTTTAGCTTGGATATGCAGTTCAGATGAGCCACAATCTCAAGCCTAAATGCCTGCAAATCAATTTGTGAGAGAGCAAGTGACAAACAGAGTGAATGCAAAAGCGATTAAGCTTGTGTGAATTACTTGAGTCTATAGGGCTTTTCGCACCGCTTTATTTCCAGAACTAAATATACAGTACTAAAGTACTGGGACGATTTTGCGCGAACTATTTCCCAGTACCATTTAAAGGGTTGCATTCGCACCGAGAGTGTGTACTAAGAAGTGACGTAAGCCGGTCGACAGCGTCGTCATTTGTGTGTGGCGTTCAACAACAGAAACAAAGAAGAACAACATTAACAACAGGAGGATGGAGGCCGTTGTGATCGGAGATGTGTTTTTGTTGTGTCTCGCGGGTTTCACAATAATGGACATGGAAAGTCGATGTATACGTAAAACGATTGAAAGAACGGAAAGGAGGACTAAGAATCTCCAACGACAACTGGCAGTGCTACATTTGCTACAAGTGCCTGCACTTCAGCGTCCGTCCATCTATCGCTGTTCTCCATACTTGCGAAATAAGTTGACACAATGTTTACAGTATGTTTACACAGCGTTTTAAATCATGGCGGGTGAGGGCGTTTTCATACGCGTTTGGCCAATCAATGTTTACTTGCGTCACGATTAGTACCAGTTGTGCTGGTTAGACCCTGCTCCGGAGTAGGAGCTAATTTGGTTCTCGAAAAAGGCAGTCCGGTACTAAAATCGCACCCAGTTCCGGCAGTGCGAAAACGCCAAAAAGTGGGTAGTTCCACAATTAGTTCTGGTACTATGAAAAGGTTCCCGCGGTGCGAAAGGCCCTTATGTGTCTCTCAACAGGGTAACGTCTCTACTAACAGTGAAACTTTAAGTTCATCTGCCGTTATACCCAAGTAAGAAATGTCATATAGCTCTTAAGTTGCTAAACTATTTTACTAATAAAATCGTCAAAGCAGTGCTAACAACACATTTCTGTGCACATGTATGTTTCCGTGTGTGCAAGCGTGTGTGTCTGTATTGTATGTGTGTGCATTTGTATGGGAGAGAGCAGGAGAAAGAGATAATTAAATGTAATTTTATGGAAAAAACATTATGGAAATAATTGGTCATTTTCATCGTATTGTCTACTGTATTTATTTGCTTCGTCAGTCGTTGTGGGTTTTGGTTCTTTTGCTGTTGTAGGGACCTTTGAAATAACAAATCATTTTGCGAAGTGATACGGACATGCGGTAGTGCGGTCAAGACCTGCCTGGAACTACTTTAGCCATGCGTTTCCCTGAAAATAATTGCACACCTTAGAATGTTTGTCAACCAATCAGATTCAAGCATTCAAAAGCTGACATATCAAATACGGTTTAAGCCTCTACTCCATTTCATGTGAGAATACTACATTATCTCTAAAGCCCTTTGCCAGCACTATTCATTCACAGAACACCATTAGTACGTAGAGTTTTTAAATGCTTAGCTTGCAGTCTCTGAGCTCATTGTGTCCCACACAACAATATTTAAATGATTCAAAAAATATATCACTCTCTGGTCTGAAATTTTGTTATGAAGATGAAGTTAGGATCATTTAATGATTTTGAAAGAAACTCACCATGAGTGCACTCATTTGATCATTTGATTAAAAATACAGTCATTTGAAATATTATACGTTTTTGTCACTTTTGATTTAATGTATCCTTGCTGAATAAGCGTATTAATTTATTTAAAAAAAATAATAAATACATACATAAAAAAGCATCTTATTGAGCCCAAACCTTTGAACGGAAGTGTATGCACTGGCATGAGATTACTATAATAGAGCCTGTCTGTGTAAAGTTACATAAACTCTTCACGTCATGACCATGTATATCCTGTAATTCACATGATACATGTAAGAATACTAGAAAGGGATGTGACATTACAATCCGCAAAGCAATGTTTATATGTAACAAACATCAGTAATGCACAAGCAGATGATCAACCTCAAAATGCACCCCCTGAACCAGTTTTTATTAATCAAACTGAAGGAAATTATATTAATGAACACAAAATATATTAAAAAGGACCTGAAGTGCTGATGCAATGTCATGAAAAAAAAGATCAATACATAATTGTTTTGGCACAGCCGTAACTTTCTTCGCCAGACTTTCACTGTTCTAATGATAAAACATTTGCACCGATCATCCCACCCTATGACATAATCCTGTAGTCTAACAAACATCTTCACTACAGCATGTGTCTGTGAAATCTGGCTATGTGTCCTTTCAGGGGAGTATGAGCCAGACTACTGCATCTATAAAGCTCATGGGGCTGTACATTAATTTGTTTTCAAGAGCTCAAGAAATCAGAAAAATAAGGGTAGAGGAAACATCCTTCAACAGCACTCTGGGTGGGCTGATTGTCAGCCATTTTCAGCGTACCTTCTGAAATGCCTGTGTTTGTAACCAAGACAACTAGATAAACAACATGACAGTGAGCCCCAGCTGTGTCGTGCAAACACGCTGCACTGGGTGGGACGGTTTGATTTGGGTCTGGTATAAATCATTGATTTATCATCTATGAATGGCATTGTACAATCCATCTGACCCCCTGCATTTCTGTTTCAACCACACTGTTATGCCATGCATTAACAATGGCTTTGTAAAACTACAGTATGGTTGTGGAGGTATTAAACTAGCCCAAAAATAAGGAGGAGGAGGTGGAAGCCAAGCTCACCGTTTCTCTGAGGAGGTCCTCTGCCCATCTGCTGGTTCCTGCCAAAAGGATCCTGTGGGTTTGGGCTCATGGCACTGGTGTGCAGAGCTGAGTCAGAGTTTGTTCTGTGGCAGAAGGAGAGAGGAAGAAAGGAGGAAAACAGCTCGGTCAGTGAGCCACCAAAAAAACTGCTGAGCCGAGCCATGCCAACATGACCCTTTGCCCTCGCTCACTGCCTTCATCAAGCAACAGTG